GGAGCAGCACATATAGGCACTGTAGAGCGAATGGGACCACCACGTGAACTATTTCCATTTAATAAAGCTTGTTCGGTCCCATGATCACAAGCTGGCGTTAAACGAATGGAATTCACCACTTGGTCCTCCATGATGGGAACCACGACATGTGCATTAGAGTTGGACGAAGTGGCCATCATGTCACACACATTATAATTGGGTGTAGTGGTCCCAATTCTTTCATGCGCTTGGCTATTCACATACATTGGTGAAGTGTGCGTCAATGGAGAGGCACGATTTGGCATATTTTCAAAAGTAATGGCCCCATGCGCATCTGCTGGCATATCTTCAAACGAGACGGCCCCACGTACATTACCAAATTCATGCACATCTTGGTCCTCGATCATGGTAAGAGATGTGGCCCCTACGTCTTGATTATTCGCATTATACCTTTGATTATGCGTTGATGAAGGAGCACGTTGGTTGTTCTTACTTGGTGAAAGAGACATTGCACTCAATGGACCATGCATTGTCTGTACAGGGGAGACAAGAGGAATAACACCCGTGGAGACACCATTATCTGGAGCAATATTTGAAATATTACACACTGCATAAGGAAAGGCACTTTCATCAAATACAACGTGCCTCGAAATTATTACTCTGCCAGATTCATCAAGACATTTATACCCCTTATGAGAAGTGCTATATCCTAGAAACACACACTTCTTTGACCTGAAATCCACCTTATGGCGATTAAACAAACGCAAATAAGGATAATAAGCACAACCAAACACCCTGAGAAAGGAATAATCTAGCAGGACATGATGCAGAGCTTCAAAGGGAGACTTGCCATGCAAAACAGGTGTGGGCAATCTATTGATAAGATAAACAGCAGAAGCAAAAGCATAGCTCCAAAATTTCTGAGGTAAGGAAGCCTGAGCTAACATTGTCAATCCTGTTTCCACAATGTGCCTATGCTTCCTCTCAGCCTTACTATTCTGCTCCGAGGTGCCAGGGCACGAGAGACGATGCTGCACTCCATTGGCAGAGAACCACTTTCTAAGTGATTGATATTCCCCACCACCATCAGTCTGGAGAGCTTTAATTTTGTATCCAAACTGCACTTCAACCAATTTCGCAAAGTCAAGAAAGCACTGAGCCACCTCAGATTTACGTTTCAAGAGGTACATCCAGGTATAACGGCTACAAACATCAACAAAATAAACATAATAAAGAAATCCGTCAGTGGAGCATACAGGAGCTGGTCCCCAGACATCAGTGACAACAAGTTGAAAAGGCTCATTATATTCTGTCAATGATTTACAGAAGGGCAACTTATGCGATTTCCCTTGCATACAAGCATGACACACATTTACTGCTTCAGTTTTATTGAAAACAATACTACACAACTTCAAAATACGTTGAACAACATCAAGGGATGGATGACCAAGATGCTGATGCCACAACTTCAAAGACACAGGTGATTTCGAGACATTATTCACCAAACAAGAAGACCTCTGATCTTCATAAGGCAATAGCTGGTACAGCCCGTCATCCGTGAGCCTCCCGCGAAGTAGAGTTGCTTGAGTCCGGGCATCATTCACAAGACATTCAGAGGGATGAAACTCCATGAACACACCATTATCACGAGTGAACTGAGAAACATATAGCAACTTTTTCTTTATGTTAGGCACATGCAACATATTCTGTAAAATCAAAGGTTTCTTACTAGAACTCAAAAAACCTTGGCCTACATGCATGATTGAAATTCCCTCACCATTACCCATGAGTAAGGAACTACCTCCAGTATAGGTGGTACCTGATTGAAAACCAGACAAATCATTCGTTACATGGTGAGTAGCTCCGGTGTCAGGGAACCACAAAGAATCCGCAGACACTGAGGAGCTAGAGCCCGAGGGAGTTGGGACAGTAGCAATATAGGCTGCTGAACCAGGCGTCAAAGAGGAATGCGATGCATCATGAGAGAAGCGAGAAGCATCTGAAGGAAAACCAGGAGAAGTACCAGGAAATGGATAGTGCACAGAAACATACGACGAAGGAAAATAAAATGGTGTGGGAACAAAGGATGAAGGTGGAGGCATGGAGGTTACGGCGTGAGCATAAGGTTGTCCACCATATTACTGGTGTTTAGCAGAATTCCCAGAACCAGTGGGCTTTGAGCCATTCTCTTACATCGACTCAGACCCAGACACACCAGTATAGTCTCTATCAAAACGATGATAACACTTCTGGACCACATGTCCAAACCGGCCACACAACTGGCATTGAGGACGATTATTGTTACGCCCTCGACCTCGACCACGATATCCATTCGACTGTCCACGAGACGAATGATCCTGTGATGACCCAGTATTAACATCCTGAGTTCCACAAGAGTCAGTTTCAACAGCACCTTCCCGAGATTGAAGAACAAGATTTGCAGAAAAGTTTTCACTCAAGAACATTTTCTGTCGAGCCTCACAATCTAACAACATCTCAGTAAGAACATCAAGAGAAAAATTTTCTCGTGATGTAATTGCAATAATAGACTCAAATTCCATTGTAAGTCCAACTAACACAACATTAACATGTTCTTGCTCAGTAACCACACTACCTGAAGCATTCAACAAATCACATATGGATTTGACTTTGGCAAGATACTCCCTAATCGTCAAACCAGTCTTTCGCTGGGAATGAAGATTATGTCGAAGAGAAGAAATCTTGGCACTGAAACGAGCACCAAACAGACGAGATATAGTATTCCAGATTGACATCGCAGTTGTAAGTCCAGTCAAGTGAGGCAGAACCTCTGTACTCACAGTAGTTAAAAGCTAGGAAGCAAGCAGTTTATCTTGCTGGCGATGAGCTGCAAACACTGGATTCTCTTCAAGTTGTCCAGACGCATTAGTGATGAACTCATCTGGTGCAACAGATCCGGCCGAGATGAACCTCAGTAACCCATAGCCATCAATTATCAAAGCCACTTGATGCTTCCAAAGAAGGTATGTGGATTCAGTGAGTTTAACAGTGTCATGCTTTGGTATGTGTTGAATGCCAAACATACCTCGAGAAGTTCCAGGACTCAGGGAGGAAGCATTCGGAGACACATCCTCGGGATCAACCGTCAAATCAACCATGACGCCAGGAATACACAATGTGAGAACTTAATCTCGTGCAGCTACTGGAATGAAGAAGAAACAGTGGAAGAAAACACCCAGGTATTGGCGAAAGATACCATGATAAGATAGCAGTTTAGCTATCTAAGAAACAAGAAATGAAATCTTTGTAATTCTTTATTAATGAAAAGCTGATCTCTCATGAGTTAGAGAGTAGCTTATTTATACAAGCAAGAAGAAACTGCAACTGCTGTGCACCAAGCCATTAACAACTTAACTGCTCATAACAAGAAGCTAACAAACTATTCTAGAATTTACAGCACACGCTCGTATACATAACACTAACACTATCTTATCTTATTTACAACCCTACCTTTAGGGATAACAACTGAGGACGCTTTATTCATACTTATTTATTTAGATGGTTAAATTAAGAAATAGCTTTGAATTTCTTGTCCAATTTTTGTTTAGTTATACCGTTTGGTCAATGCTCTGAATTCATTTATTTTTTACAATGACATCATACATTTTGTCAACGCGTTATTCATCTCGTCAAAAAACTAGCAATTTGAAACTAGCATTTTAATTTAACAATTAAAATAAATAGAATTCAAGAAAATGAATATATATATATATATATATATATATATATAAAGTCAAGAAAATGAATAAATAGAATTCAAGAAAATGATTATAGATATATAAAATCTAATTCATCATATTGAAGAACAAGTTTTATACCTCTTCCACAAAATCACTTAAAGGGTATAAATCAATAATAAATATCAATCATATCTAAATAACGCAAAATTAGATATATAAAGTCACTTAATCTTCACGTCACTAAGGTCGCCATAAATTTAATTTTACACACAATTGTATCATCAAGAGCAATCTCGTATGCAACATGATCTTAACCATTGATAACAATTATATCTTTAATCAATCATAGCACATCTACCTCGTTGAATTTCTGTGAAAGTATGGTTTCTTTTTTATGTCAATCCCTAATAATAAAACATGATAAAAAAAATAATCTTTTAAACAAGGTAAGGAGTTTTATTCTTCCGTTTGCGAATAAAAATAATTGGGTTGAGAGGGTTGTCCTCGTCTATGCAATACCCGAATCGAGTCAATCAATAAATTAGATATTGGTGGTTATACCAAAAATAGAACTAAATTATCTTTTGTTTTTTCAACACCTTTTTTTCTTCATTATACCAACCCCTTATTGAGATGGTTAAATTAAGAAAAAGCTTTGAATTTCTTGTTCTTTTTGTTTATTTATAACGTTTGGTCACAATTTTGGCATTATAAATTTTATTTTACAATGACGTCACACATTTTGTCAATGAGTTTATTAGTATGCAAAAATAATTAGATTTGAAACTAGAATTTTAATTTAACAATTAAAATAAATAGAATTCAATAAAATAAATAATGTTTTTTTCATATCATATTATATTTTAAAGTAGAAAATGATGTTAAAATTGAGTTATTTGAGTTCTATTTTATAACTCGAATAATTTACAATTTTTAATAATTAGTAGATTAATTTTTAAGTTTGAGTCGAGTTTCTCAAGCTTGTATGATATATGTATATCACATATGAAAAAATATGAAGAAATATATATGTATATTGTATATAATTATAATAATCTGTTTAAATTAGAATCAAATATTATCATAATATTATAAATATTTATAACTAAATTTAAATAGAAACTCAAACAACTCGACTCGACTAAAAAAATTCAAATAAAGTTTGAGTTATAAAATAAGACTCGTCAACTAGAATAATTTAAAAATTTTTGACTTACTCGATCGAACGCACTCACCCCTAATTAAAAGGGCTACAAATAAGTATTACAAACTTACATGCAATAACCATGTAACAATTATCACTTAATTCAATTGTGAATTCCACTGATTGGGTTGGTTAATTATATGATGATATACTCCCTTGATTGCATGCAGTCCTTTAATGGCATCTTTAATCTTCATTCTCTCAACTGGAACTTCAATAGAGCATGCAACACCAACGTTAATGAAAGCAACAAAACATTCCCAAATAATGTCTTCACCACTGATGTTCATGTTCTGTTCACCATCATGTCTTGCTTTTGGACTCTTGTCCGGATGATCGTTAATTTGTTTGAGCAATTGAAAATCTACAACTTCCTTCAGCTTTCGTGACGACGTTAATGCCGTCTTACAGAAATTATGGAGGCTTGAGCCGTCGTGGAATAGATCATCCGTGGGTTTTTTTCCGGTGATCATCTCCAATAGAAGAATCCCGTAGCTGTAAATGTCGCCTTTCGGCGACGCCGGACCGCCCATGCCGTATTCTGAGCAACATGTCTTACAACTTACATTTTGAACATATTGAATGTATTTGGTAAATGGAATAGGATAAGATGATTTCAATTTTACCTGGGGCAACATAACCAATTGTTCCATTGATGACTGAGGAACTTGCTTGCTCGAAACCGAGTTTGCTTGCAGCATCGGAAACGATCTTTGCCAACCCGAAATCAGCAACATGTGCAACCATGTCGTCGTCAAGAAGAACATTGGTCGGCTTTAGATCACGATGAACAATCGCGGATTCGCAATCGTGGTGAAGGTAATCTAAAACATTGCCCACATCTACAGCAATGTCCAACAGTTGAGCGAAGCTCAAATGACGTAAAGAGTCACAATTCAGCCACTTTTCTAAGCTTCCATTACTCATGAATTCCAGAACTATAGCCTTGAAGTCATTGCCTTGGAAGTCGATGCTTGAGCAAGAAGTTATGACCATGACAAGATTCCGATGCCGGATTTTCCTTAAAGCTTCGCATTCGACTCCGAAACTCTTGATTGCCCCAAGGTTACGAAGGTTCAATACCTTGACGGCGACAATGGGGTTTTTGTGTCCATGGAGGATTCCTTTATAGACAGTACTGAAACCGCCTTCACCGAGCAAGTTGGATGCCGAGAAGCCATTGGTGGCATCAAGAAGTTCCTTATACGAGACTCGTGAGCAGCAGGCGGTCATCACCAATGCTTCAGGGATATCTATTAGTTCCGTTCTGGTGCGTTTTATCCAGCAAATGATAACAATAAGAAAAAGTAAAATTGAAGCAACCGAGATGCTAATGATTATACTAACAAGAGCTTTTCTCTTGTTCTTTTCTTCTTGATCTTCAAAGCATCTTGGAATCTGAATTTCTGGGATTCCCCCACATAGATTTTGATTTCCCATAATTGAAAACCGACTGGAATTCTTAAAAACACCTTCACGTGGAACTTGACCCTCTAATTGGTTGAAAGAAAGGTTTAAACTCACCAAAAATGGAAGCTTTTGAAGTTCAACTGGTATTGTGTTTGACAAATTATTTGCAGAAAGATCCAAGCTTTCAATTGCTCTCAAGAAACCAAAAGATGGAGGAATGCTGCCATTAAACAAGTTTCCCTGCATGTGTAGGATTCTCAGTGCAGAAATCTCAGCAATTTGGCCCGGAATTTCACCAGTGAAATTGTTGTTATCAACATATAATTCCACAAGATCCTTGGACTTAACTATATCAGATGGAAATACACCAGTGAAAGAGTTGTGGGACAAATTCAAAGTAATCAACCTTTGGAAAGCACCAATCAGCTGATTTGATAAGCGTCCATGGAGTTGATTCCCTGAAAGATCCATGATGAACATCTCTCTGCAATTCCAGAGTGTCAATGGAATCTTTCCCTCAAAATTGTTACCATCTAAGTAAAGATAAGACAATCGAGAAAGGTTGCCGATGGAAGATGGGATTTCACCAGTTAAGTGATTCTTGGAGAGGTCAAATCGTACAAGATCCTGAAGCTTTGCAATGGAACTTGGAATCTTTCCGGTTAACAAATTCTCCCCTAAATGAAGCTGATTGACGTTAACAAGATTGCCAATTCCTTCAGGAATTTTTCCAGAAATCCGATTCCCTCCCATGTAAAGAAACTCAATCTGGCTCGATAAATTCGCTACAGAATCAGGTAAAACCCCGCCGAATCTGTTTATATGAATCGCCAAGTCTCTCAATCGAGTGCAGTTGGTTAAAGAAGAAACGAAACCCAAATCTCCAGCTTCCCCAGTTCCAAGATGATTATAATCTATGGCTAACAGTTCAAGATTCTGAAACTTTCCCAGATTCTCAGGAACCGATCCACTGAAACCATTTGAATGCATGTCAAGATGCTCCAAGCTTGAGATATTAGCCAACGATCTTGGCATTTTTCCGGTGAATTGATTACCTCCGATGTAAAGTACTTCGAGTTTCGAAAACGAAAAGCCTGTCTCTGGTTCAAGCTCCCCAGATAATTGATTCGAACCCAAATGGATATATCTCAAAGATGAAAGATTGTAAATTGAAGAAGGAATAGTTCCAGAAAGATTATTCTCCATTAAAACAAGTACTTGCAAGTTCCATAACTTCCCCAAATCATCGGGTATAATTCCCTCCAACTGATTATTTTCAAGATTTAGAAAATCCAACGAAGAAAGATTGGACAAAGAAGATGGAATGTTTCCATGGAGACTATTGTTGGTAAGATCAAGCAAACGAAGCTGCTTCAATTGCCCAAGCTCCACTGGGATGTTTCCATGCAAACTGTTGTGGGATAAGTTGACCACTCGAAGGGAACTTAAGTTTCCGATCGAAGGTGATATGGTGCCGGAGCCTGCTAGTTCGAGGCCACCGAGTTCTAATCCGATGACCCTCCGGCCATTCCGATCACATCGAATACCATGCCAATAGCAAAAATGGAGCGAATCGTTCCATGAAAATAGAGGTCCTGGAGAATTGCCACCAATAAGATGTTCTTTCAATGTAAGCAAAGCTAGCCTATCGGTTTCGCTGCTCCCACTGGCAGAAGCAAGGTTTAAGGACGTTGATAGGAAGGTGACGGTGAGTACAACAATGGAAACCAGAAACTTGATCAGCATAATAATGCGTTGGTTTTTCAAGAGAAATTTCTCCATTACTGACGCGAGTTTTTGTTTCGGATGAACAAATTTCAGTGGAAAGATGGAATTATGGATGAACGATGAAAACCTTTTTAATAACGAAACAATAGTACGAGGGATGGAGAGGGGAGAACCGATGACGTAAAAGAAATTAGACAGTCATGTCGTTTTAATCAACATGTCATGGTAATTACTTAGATTCAATAAGTATATTATTAAAACATTAATCATATACAATTTTGTGAAAGTAAAAATTACGTTAATGTAAATGACTTCACATCAATATACTAAACATATAATTATATTTAGTAATGGATTCTATTAATGACGTGTTTATATTAATATATTGATGTTTTTCTGATTAAATTTAAATGAATAATTGTTTTTATTATAAAGTCAACCCTAATTATAAAGCCTTTATATGAAAAGCTATGATTGAAGAAGTAAACACAACATCTAACTACAAGGCAAAGACTTGGGTAATAAAATAAATTTTCCCTTTAATATTTTATTCAAATTAGCTTGAAATCAACATAAACAAATGCTCTAGTCCCTCTCCTTTGGTATGACTTGATAATACACAATCACATACGCATAATTTTATGTTAGAAAAAAGAATTTATATAATTTGAGGGACGAAAATATATTTTTAATGAAAAATACAAAGACAATATTTAAAATTAATAAAAATTTAAAATTTTTAAGAGACAATTGCATCCACTCATCCATCCCCTCTCGGTCCATCTGTGATAATACATAAGTTTTCAAACCTTGAAAATCATTAATTCATTTTATCTTGGACTTTGATTTTTTTTTCTTCCTTGATTACTTTAAGATTTGGTGGAGCTTATCTTACCAACTCCAAAGGCATAAGAAATTACTTTTCCAAGTCTTTCATCCTTCATTTTTATGTATCTTTGCATCACCTTACCACATTTTGATGTGAGCATGTATGAACATGGCCCATAAGTGATGCGACAAGGACCTATCACTCGATTTAAGATCAAACATTTAGGAAAATACTATTACATAAACGTATTCATGCATTTAAATTTTATGATCAAGCATTGACTTTAAACTTAGACAATAAACCATATAATATTTTGCATATGAAAATATAACACATTTATTTCATTTATATTATATGTTACATGATTAGGTTTCATTTTCACTTATGTGTTATACATTATATATATATATATATATATATTACATTTTTTTCTTACGTTAGGCGTGCAAGCTTATATACATTATATATATCTTTTATTTATATATTATAAGTTACTTATGTGCTTATTTATTTAATTGAAAAGTACCTTATCCTTGAAGAAGAGTTCCAACGGCTAGAAAGATGAAAAGGGAGAACCAATTCAATCCAAGGGTCCTGCTTCTTCGTTACTTCCAACGAGAATGGGTGCCATCTCTTCACTCCAACAGCTACATGATTCAACGGAAAGGTTGTGCACTTTCATGAGGAGACATAATGCTTCATCAAGGAATGCTTCCAAGGGACATGATGTTTCATCAAGGTGCTTCCGAGAGACATGTCCTTTCATCTCAAAAGGTCTCTCTTTGTTCTTGTTTGAACTCCTTGACTTATCTAGCGTTGCTCATACTTTTGGTTCCTAGTTTTCATAATTAGTGTGTCAAAGTACTATGGATTGAAGATCTTTTTCCTATATTTTTACACTTGTGTTTAGATAGATATAACTATTTGACATTGAACGCTCATATCTCTAACATTTATGGTACTTGAACCCGAGACCCTTAACCACTTAAATCGCTTGAATCATGCAATTATTCACCACTTTTGAAATGGAGAGTGAAGTTTTTAAACATGACCATCCTCTTTAGTTTTTGTGACGTTATTGAACAAAATGAAAGTATTCTTCTTACTAATAAAACATTATGAAGTTCGGTTCAGTAAAGGTTTAAGATTGTAATAGTTTTGTTCATGCATTCAGAAAGAAGTATATTTTATACTTGATCGGAGTTTCTAATTATAGTTTAGCTTAAGTTTAAGATTGAAGTGTGTAATACCCCAATTTCGTCCGGGCCATTTGAATCCATTTGAAGATGATCAAATTAATATGAAGGTGTTCGATGAAGAATTAATTCAAATGATGAAGCGAGGAAGCTTGCATTTGGGAATTTTAGGTGCTTAATTGGATTGTGATCATATTTGCTTCGTTTTGGAATTCAAGATATAAATTGAAGCCCCAAATTCAATCCCAAATCCAAATTAAATGTTTAGAGTCCTTGTACATCTTATAAACCTAAACCCAAATTACAAATGAGGCCCAAATCGGACCCAATTACAATAGGTCATCAGACCCAAACCTGAAACTCATCAAACCCAAAATAGGACCCGGTTGAAACATCACGTGAGCTCACCATTTCCAACCCGTGCCAGTGCCTTCACCATTTCCAACCCGTGCCAGTGCCTTCACTATTTCCAACCCGGGCTTACCATCCACCCACGTGAAGCACGACAGACAAGGCTCGGCACCCCGAGCAAACACCACCAGAAGCTCCTGCCAGGACCATACCCGAGCAGACAAGCTCGGCTCCCCATCACCCGTGACCTACAACACGCGAAGAACAAGGGAACAATAGAGGGTTAAAGCAGAAGAGCAGTAACAAAGGACGGGAGGGAAAAATATAGAAGGAACAGAGGAAGGGCTCTCGGTTAGCAATCACGAACAGCAGAGGGGGGAGATCCATCGACCATTAGCCATCAAGAACAGAACCAAAAAAAATTCACCAACAAAGGAGGGGAGAGACCAGAGAGGATGGGGATTCGGAACAGGGGTAACCATTTCGAGCAGAAGGGGTCAGTGATCAATTGGAGAACAAGCAAAGAACATGAGAGCAGGGAAAGAAGGATACCAATAGAGAGCTCACGAACAGCAGAGCACGGAACCAAAAAAACCAACAGAGGAGGGGATTTTTCAGTAACAACAAGGGGGTTCTTGAACGGAAAGCAGTGTAACTGGAGAAGGATTCCCCCGTATTCGAAAGCAATGTGAACAGGGGATCCTTCCATGATTTTACAGAGGAATGAAAGGCTAGAAATCATTTTTACAGTTTATTTTCCCGATTTCTTCATAAGTTTTTTTTTGTTTTTTTTACAATCATTATAAAAAATGAAGAGCTCTAAAAACTAGTGAAATGCCATCCAAACGAAGATCAGAAAGCAACCCTCAGCAAAAATAGAAATAGTTTCGAACAAAAATTAGCAACTAGAAGACCCAAAAGTCAGAGAACCCTTACCTTTCCGGAACCGAGAGTATCATCGCCATTCATCGGAGTCAAATCATCCTCAGATAGAAGGTAACTCCTTAGTTCCTTAGCCTTTAGCTTCCGTTTTCAGGGTAAGGTTGGCCGTCGGGGGTTTGGGTATAGGTTTAACTCCTCATCAGAGTTTGTTGGCTATGGTGGTTAGCAGTGGGTTTCGTGGTTGAGGTATTTAGGTCTTGGGTTTTCTAAGAGTGAAGAGTTAAGGCTCGGGAGTTCCTCATCGGAGCCATTAGGCGGCGGAGGCTGCTACGGCGAGGAGCGGTGGCCTTTGTCTCGTTTAGAAGAGGGAGAGTTTGAGAGAAGCGACGAGGGGTTGTCTGGGTTAGGCTGAGATAAAATGAAATTAGGGTAAAAAGCTTACCCTGATATCCCATATATTATCACGCCAAAACGGCGTAGTTTCACGGAGGAGCGAAACGGCAGCGTCTTGAGGCTGGTAGAGGTGAACCGGGTTTTAGGAAAATGGGCTAACAGCAGTTTAGGTCCTTCCTTTTTCTTTTCATTCCAGTGTGGTCCTTAAGTCGAGCTTTATGGGAATTTTAGTTTTGTCTCCTAATTTTCGGATGTTGCATCTTGGTCCATAAATCATTGTTTGCATGTTTATAATTTTGTCTCTTATTTTACCCGCATTTAACTTTAGTCCTAAGTAGTGTTGTAGTTGAATCTTTACTGTTTTAAACATTTGACCCTCGTGTTCTGCATGTTGCATTTTAGTCCTGAGTGGTAATATACTTAGTTTCAGTTTTCTTAGACTTTTGACTTTGAATGTTTTGCATGTTTCTTTTTAGTCCTATGTATGTTTAGGGTTTATTATAATTTTAGTCAATTATGGTGATGATTTGTTTTATTCTGGTTTCATTGTTTACTATGTGTACTACTCGTATGTTCATTTCAATGATTATTTTGTTTATATTTTGGATATTAAAATTCGGTTTAATGTGATTTGGTTTTTAGTGTAACATGTATAGTTTGGTATGTTATGTTTTTATTTTTTTCGTATTTAAGTCCCATTAGTATGTTACATATTAATACGTTAAGTAATGTTAGTGCATGTTAGTTTTTCATATATTATTTATTAATTAGATAATTTTTAATATCGTGTGTTAACCTCGTGTGCATAACTCGATGTATTTACATAATTTAATTAAGGGTAATATCTTTTTAATTTAAAATTGTTTTAAGTGGTTGTCTTAACTGATTAGATATCCGCTTTGACGATTTTAAATTAAAAGTATATCCCGTCAGTAACGCCTAATTAAATTCGGATATATCCTTGTAAAATTTGGGAGCGAAAGAAAAGGAAATATTCGACTATTTAAACTTTTCGAGAAAAGGTCGTTAGAACTGAACTAAAGATCTGGTCTCGATATTTTTAAATAATCGAATATTCTTTATCTTTCTAATGACTTGGTAATTTTAAATTAAATCTATTTTGTTGCTTTGAATGTTGCAAATTTGCATGTTTGTCGTTTAAAGGGATCATTAATCAAATTAAATTTGAACTTGTGAAATTCGTCGCAAAGAAATTAATTAATCGACTAGGTACCGATTTAGGGCGTTGTGGGGGTGCTAATCCTTCCCCACACGTAACCGACTCCCGAACTTGGATTTTGGTAACGTAGACCGTAAATTTGTCGTTTTAATTAAAATTAATTTTTATTTAAAATGACAACGTTTTTGGGTGCCCAATCACACCCTAATCAAAGATTGGTGGC